GTGGCATTTTAAATAATTTTTAATAATAGATTTTTAAAAAATTAATACAAAAAATAAACCCCGTCATTTTTTTAAAAAAATACATTTTAAAAAAATTATTATTATTAAAATTTATTAAAAAGTATTTAAAAATTATTAAAAATGCCAACTTATCTGCCACGTAAGCAAGTAACCTGCTAAAATTGATGGTAACCTGCTATTAGGTGAAATTGCATACATTTGGAGTGTTCAGTGGTCTAATTATACTTTTTTTTTTCGTTCAGTGGCCTAATTGCATTGTTAGGTTATGTTCCATAGCCAATTTGAACCTTATTCCTTTTCATTCTTGATATATTACCTGCAGTTCCCCAAAAAAACTTATTAATTTTTAAGATAAAAACTTAATGCATTATATCACAAATAAGACAACTTACAAAGAAAGAATGAGGGGTATCAAAAAAACTTATTAATAAATCGCCATTACTGAGTATTCTTTACTAAATCATTTTATTTGATAATAAGTTTAATATTGAAATTATTATTAAATTGAGAATTATATCATTAGACTGAGCCATTTTGGGTGGTAGTGGCATATTATTGAAGGATGTAACATAATTTTGTTCTAAATCATTTCAACACTCGTGTTTTCAACATTGAAATTTGCGCTTCCAGATCCTAATAAAAATAAAAATTAAATGTTAGCAATAAGATATTTATGTACATAATTATGTTCTAAATTTTACACGAAATATTTTTTAATATAAAATTAAAAAATTTGACAATCTATATATATATATATATATATATATATATATATATATATATATATATAATAAATTTGTAGTATATAATTTACTATATATGACCACAAATTTTATTTCTTAATTATTTATTGTAATAAATGTATCTAAATATAAGAACATATTTTTTTTTAATGCATAAGAACATATATTTATTTCCCCTAATTTGTATCATATAATTATGTAAATACAATTTCTTGTATTACCATTTAAATTGCCACAAAAGGTAAAGTTTGACAATGGAGTTGCACTGCTAGTAGAATTGAAATTCGCGTTCACCTCAGTCACTACAATATAAATGTTCAACACATTATAATCATCATTGATATTAAAGTTAACTTTAAAAGAGTATATATTGATTAATAAGTATTCAGATAAAAAACAACCGTTCGTTATATTTCTCAACGGCGTGACATAATAACAGTCTACATGTTGCGCCTCTAAACTGTTTGTATTCGGCAACGATTTTTTATTTTGAAATATAGTTCCTGAATTTGGGAAAAAAAGGACATGTAAATGAAGATTGCTTTAGATTTCACACATAATATCAAATAATTTAAGCATCTGATCATTGAATCATAATTGAAATCTAACACTTACTATACCTTTGGAATTACTCATGTATTGTGTTACTTGATTATGATTTAATGGTGTACTGAATGTGTTTTTCACGTTATAACTTCCACTTACGGTTCCTATTTTATTCCAAAATAGTAGCATCAGTATAACAGCAATTTCTAAACTATGCTTAAAATTACAAATACTAACGGTTAAAGATGGCACTTAATGGATTAGATAGCGAAGATTGGAACAACCTATAAATTGGTGCCCAATCTGATTGCATGACGAATTGATATTCTACAACGGACTTCTAATCACACGTTGGTCACAAGATTCATTCTCTACAAATAACAATAATTAATGTCATAATAATATACATACACTAGAATTATTTTAGGAAGCTGACTACGCCATTAATTTAATAAAACTAATTATTATTACCAAGGATCTTATAGTCTAATAGTCCTAAATCCCTCTTTTATATAGGAAGTTATGAAGAGATACTATATTGTAATACAGTCAGTACATTAAAAAAAAAACTAATCATTACTATGAAAAAATTAAATAGAAAAGTTATTATTTTATTACAATTAGCTAATTTATTAATCATGTATTCTGTTGGCATTATATTGTATTGTGTGCCTATAGGTATAGTAGATGTAGGAGAAAGAAAATTGTATTGGGATTATTGTCTCCTCGGTAGAAAATGATAATCGCATTGTAGTTTTTTCCTCTTTTGTCCACTCACCAAAAGCTTCCCTGTTTTGTCCACTATTTTAGAAAAAGTTCACAAACCAAGCTATGACTCAAAAGACACACCCATTCAAGTTACTACTTAAGAAAAATGTAATGTAGGAGTGAAACGATGAATGCTTCCAATTTTTATTGAATTGCTATTTTTTATCAAATTTTATGAAATTGTAATTTTATGATTTAATTGGAGGGAATTGTAATTTCACGTAATTACAATTCCTTCCAACTATGAAATCTTCACAATTTGTGAAATTGTAATTTCATGATAAACTATTATTTTATCATTCTCATGATTATATTATTATTATTATTATTATTATTATTATTATTATTATTATTATACAAGAACATTTTAATCTTTATTTATTTCTTCCCTTTCAATTCTCAATTTTCATTTTATTTTTTCCTACCAAACAATGTATTTTTTTTCTACAAAATTACAATTCATTTCCTCCTAACACTACTGGAAATTATGGAATTTCCGACCACCTGAAAGTGATCAAGTCAAAACTCAAAAGTCTTGTTCCGACCACTTTTGATATCCGGAAAAACCTTTGTTGCTATTTCCGACCACTTTTTAGACTTTTTAGTATCAACTTAATTTAAGATCACTTTCAGGTGGTCAGAAATTTCATAATTTCCAGTAGTGTAATTCACTTATTCCGACCAAACACCACAGTCCTAGCTAGCTCACAAAATGTCAAAATCTAAAAAGTGAATTATATTCATTCTTTCCAAAAGGGTGAACAACTCCAACCCTAAGGGTCACCCACACTCCGGCCCGACAGAGCATCTAAAATGATGTAAATCATGCGTACAAGGAGTCCCTCTCACTTTGAGTTATCCCACACTACCGCTGGTGAGACTCAATCCCTGATCATTCTTTCTAACTTTCACATCTATCACTATGCGGGCAAGTGAATTATATTCATTATACTATATATACATAGGGCATGGGAAATATGTTGGGTATTAGTCCTAAAGTTGATTCATTCATTTGGATATGGAAGCATTTATGGCATGTGAGTTGCAAATTTATTGTGGTCGTCCTCACGTAACCTCCATTTATAATACGTGTTGGTTCGTCCAACGGGTTAAATCGGAACATTTTTATTTGTATCAATTATAGGATTTAAATTTCATTATGATTTGTTGTTAGGGTTAGGGTACGTACAATAATTATTAAAATTAATTTCTTTTACGGTGTGCACATGCACCTTTTATTTTTTATTTTTAGAGTACGGAGCAGTAATAATAATGAATGGGGGAAGATGGGAGGGTTTAATGAAATCAAACTGCCATTCTCCTCCCTATTTACTCTACTTATCAAACTGCCAACTGTACCCTTTTTTTTTTTAATTTTTAAATCTAAGATATGTAAGCATGGCAAAGTATCCTCTATTGCCTACCATACCTAAAATAAAAATAAAAACAAAAATGGAATCCCACAACATTAGCATAAGGCAAATTATACCATGCATTGTGCGCACTGGCCCAAAACGATGTCGTTTTGTACCTTTTTGCGTGTCTGCTGTTAATTCCTTAAAAAAAATTCATGTTTCAAATGTACATAATTGTATAATAGAAAGCACCGAATTTTATAAATGAATACACATAATCTTTTTTGAAAGGATAATACATACATAATCTAACATAATACTCCGTACATAATATACATAAACTCTTAACATAATACACATAAACTCTTAACTCTTTAAAAAAAATCCATGTCTCGAATGTATAGAATTATATAATAGAATGTACAGAATTTTATACATGAAAACACAAAATTTTATAACTTAAAATTCACATATTTCAAATGTACAACATTATATAATAGAATGCACAGAATTTTATACCTAAAATTAACAAAACGACATCATTTTGAGAGGCACAGGACGCACATTGCTATGTGCGTCCTGGTGCACGGGATAACGATTGTTAGCATAACGCGTTGGTTAATTTTGAAAAATTGTATTGTAACTTTGGGGCTCAATAAGCCCAATTGGCCCAAAGTGGGATAAATCAATTGTTAAGCCGCAAGATGGACACGGTTCTAATACGACGCTGTTTGGTAATTTTAGAGTAACAGTGTCATTAATGGCACTGTTTTCCTCCATTAATCATGATTTTTTTTAATTGACACGGTGTCGTTTTCGCCGTTTTGGAACCGTGTCCACCTTACAAGGTGGATACAGTTCCACAACATAATTTGCTGGGATAAAGGGATCGTTATGCCGTGAGTACGTGCCCACCTTGCAAGGTGGGCACGGTTCGATATCCATAATTTCTATACTTTAGATTCATAATTTTTATACTGTAGATCCATAATTTCTATAATGTAGATTCATAAAATTTATACTTTAGATTCATAATTTCTAAACCGTAGATTCATAATTTAAATACAGTAGATTCATAATTTCTACACAATAGATTCATAATTTCTATACTGCAGATTTATAATATTTGTACTATAAATTCATAATTTCTGTACTATAAATTCATAATTTCTAAATTGTATAGTTATCATTATGAACATATAATTCTCTGATTTGTGAAAACAGAGTTCAACAATTAAAATCTAAAGTATAAATTTTATGAATCTACAGTATACAAATTATGAATCTACAACATAGAAATTATGGATATAGAACCGTGCCGCAAGGTGGGCACGTGCTCACGGCATAATTTGCCGGAATAAATAATATGGACTCATTGCGCATGGGTACGAAACGAAACCTTAGCCCAATATGTACATTGTTTTAATTCTCATATTATATTTTAAATAAATAGTATTTATTTGCTACAACTAGAAATTTATATTTATAACAAATAAATAAAGGATTTAAATTTCGAAAGTGAGATGCCATTTTCATACACGTATAAAACAAATTAAAGGTCACCATCCAAATCAATGATATTTATATATATGACAGTTATTTAGTACAAGTAGAGTAGATATGGTGATGATCTTTAGCAATTATTTAAACTAAAGTTGAATGGGCTAAGATAGATATAGATATATAAAGTAAATGGGCGGAGTAATGTTGTTTGTTGGCATAGGATATAGATAGATATCGATGATAGATGTAGCGTAGTGTACGTAGAATATTTAGCTTAGGAGGTAGCTAGGGTGCATATATTATTGATTGGATTGTGATTGTAGGTGTAGGGGGCGGGGAGGGGCGGAGGAATTGATTATTGATGCATGCATGGGAGGGGAGGATATGAGGGATAGCTAAACCTTGAGGATATCTGGAATATAAACTGGATATTGATGAATGCAGTCGGCCCAGGGAGTGTCCAGTACTGGAGGGTGAATGGTCCTATTACATTTCCAAACTGCACTGTTACACTTGAATCCACTCCCGAAAGCAATCTGCCACACTCTATCTCCTCTTTTCATTCTCCCTTTAGCTTCAATGTAACTCATCTCATACCACAGTGAAGATGAAGACGTGTTCCCAAATCGGTGCAGCGTCATCCGAGACGCCTCTACATGCTCACCCGAGAGCTCTAGATTTTTCTGCAGCTCATCTATTACAGCCCGTCCTCCAGCGTGGATGCAGAAATGTTCGAATGCCCGTTTGAAGTCTGGGACCTTCTTATTATTATTAGGGGATGAGGATTGGGATTTGCTACTCATCAGTTTCCCCCTCACCACCCCCACCACGAACATCACTAGTTCCCATACCGGTAGCACAAGAGGACCTATGCTTGTTATATTCGACTTCAATGCCTCCCCCGCCACTTCCATCAGGTTTATACACAAGTTTATCCCCACAAACCCCTCTTCATCTTCCTGCTGGAACACACATTTGTATGACTTGTCTTTGTTCCCCATATGTGTCCTCACAACGTGGAGCAGTCGGTACTTTGCCCGCTCCCCATCCACCCTCCTGTTCGACAATAGAAGCGCCGCTCCTCCCGTTCTAAAAAGGCAATTAGGAAGAAGCATTGATCTCTCCTTCCCCAGATACGAATTGGGAGTGATAATCTCGGTGCTAACAATCACTGCATTTGAGTTGCGGTGGGTTTGAAGCAAATCTCGGGCCAAATCTATGGATATTAGACCCGCACTACAACCCATCCCCGACAGATTAAAGCTCTTCACGTTACTCCTCAGTTTGTATTTGTTAACGATCATGGCAGAGAGGGAAGGAGTGGGGGAGAACATGCTGCAGTTGACGATGAGAATATCGATGTGTTTGGGGTTGAGCTGAGTCTTAGCCAAAAGTTGGTCCATAACAGAGAAGATGACGGTTTGAGCCTCTTCCCTGGCCAGCTTCAAGGTGGGAGTAGGGGGGATGTAATGTATAGCGGGTGGGACGCAAGTGCGCTCCCCCAAGCCAGAGCGTTCAAGGATTTGTTTCTGAAAATAGATAGTCTTAGGGTGTGTGGGGAAGACCAGTTGGGAGTGCTCCATGAAGGTGGCGAAGGGGACACGGTGGTTGGCAGGGGGCTTGTAACATGCATAGTCAACTAGGTAGACGGCACGAGGTCGGGAGGATATAATAATAAGGTATCCAAATGCACATGCACATGCACATGCGCAGAAGATGATCATCATTATTATGAATTGGGGAGGAGTACTACTGAAGAATGCTTCTGCAGCAGCAGCGTATGGGAGAGTAGTGATTCCTTGCTTGTATAAGTGGAGGAGGAGGAGCTGTGAGGAGGCATAATAATGTTGGACGATGACAGGAGGAGGAAATTTAAACAATAATAATGTGGGTACAAGGATGAAGACAAAGATGTAGCTAACACAGCAATACCATGCTAGCTGCTTCACATACCAGCTCATCACCTTCATTGGAGAAGATGATGATGAGTTTGAAAAGTTGGGTTGTTTTAGAACCATAATATAATGTTGAATTACCCTGCCTAGCCTAGCTTATAATTAGCTATTATATATATTCGATCCAATTGGTAGGGACTAGAGAGGGTACGGTTTTATATTAGTAACTATAGGAATTGAATTTGAATGTTACGTTGTGTAGGGGAATTGGGAATCTCCCTACCTAGTTAGCTAGTTGATAATTGATATATAATAATAGAGCAAATACCAAATTTGGTCCCTTGAGTATTACCAAAATGACAGTTTTGATCTACATGTTTAATTCCTACCAATTTTTATCAACGATTATTGTTTTAGTATCAATTTTCATCCACGATTATTGTTTTAGTATCAAAATTCATCACGCCGATCACCCCTTCATTTAAGACATGTTGAAATATGAAATTATTAAAAAAAAATTCTTCCTTTTCAAATTAAGATCCCCATTTGAATATGAATAAAGGGATTGAGGTAGGATGAGGAGGAGAACTGCGAATTAGAATCAATCTTAGGGCTTAAATCTCATTATTCATGTTCAAATTGGGATCTTAAGTTGAAAAGGACAAAAATACCCTTTAAAATTTTAGATCTCGGCATGTCTTAAACGGAGGGGTTGCCAACGTGATGAATTTTGACACTAAAATGATAGTCGTGGATGAAAATTGGTACTAAAACAATAGTCGTGAATGAAAATTGGTAGGAATTAAACATGTCGACCAAAACTGTCATTTTGCAAATACTCGTGGGACTAAAATTGGTAGTTGCTCTATAATAATAATATTATTGGCCCTGTTTGGTAAAATAGGTAGCCTATAGGTCAATTTTGACTTATTTGATCACTATTAGCTTTTTAACTTGGTTAAAAAATCAATATAAGTATTTCGTTAATTAGGTTTTTGTAACTCTAAAATGCTAAAATTCAAAAAGCTACTCAAACCAACTCTTTCAATTAGCTTATTGAGAAAAGAAATTATATCAAACAACTATCAGCTAACAGCTAATTTACCAAACACTTTTCTACAATAAGCATAGTATCAACTAGTTATACTCTCTAATTATATTAACTCAATCAGCTAACAGTCATTTACCAAATAGAGCCAATATGTGAATATTATTATATTATTATTGTTTGTAGTGGGCCGAGCGAATTAATTATAGTGATGATAAGAATTGTATGATAGTAGTGCACTATTATATTCGTGTTTTTTTTTTATCGTTGGATGATGTAGTTGCATGTTTCTCGCATTGCATTATATTGCCAGCTTAGCTATTTCTTTTAATTTGCTAAGGATTCCTATCCTAACTTATGCATACAAAGAGATACTACGTGATGATCCTAACTTGTGTTGCCTTACATACCTGCTACTTGATGATCGATTTCAAATTAAAGCTAAGCTAATTAAGCTGGCAATATAATATGCATGGGGTTTCCATTAAGTTGGTTCTCAAGTGACAGTAGACGGAGGGTAATTGCTTTTGGTGATCCAAAATTATCTACATGCTATAATATCATGTCTTTGGTGTGAAGGTAGAAAACATTTGGCAACCGTGAAATAAGGAAACCATTAACCACCCCTCATGTTGTTGTCTCTAAAACTCAATCATCTCATGCATGCAATTCAAATTTCAAAGACATTAGACATGTATAATACAATTTAATTGATATGTAATGAATTGAAATATATGACAGTATGACACTAGACTCGCTTAACAAAACTCACTGTCATCCTAAAACGAGAAGAGAGAAGGTAGCTTAAGCGACTAATTAAGCCATATATATTTATGTATGTAATAAGTCAATGGTACAATAAGGTGCAACTGTTTGCAACCCCAAATTGTTGTTATAAACAGTAGCTCGCCATTCGAAGTAACCTATTGTTAAAATAAAAAAAATAAATAAATAAATAAATATATATATATATATATATATATATATATATATATATATATATATATATATATATATATATATATATTATGAATATAAACATATTAAAATATATATAAGTATTTATATGGATATTATGAAACATATACTAAAATTTGACAATGAAAAAATTGTTTTGTTCATGTATTTAGGGAGAACTAGAGAAAGTTAGGGATAAAAAAATTCATAGAAAAAATATAAATCAATATAAACAAGCAATAATGAAGTAAAAATAATATTATCTCGAATTTGTAGAGGAAGATTGTAAAGTTTAGGAGAGAGAGAGAAAAAGTAGAGGTTAGGTATGAGGAAAATATAGGATAATGAAGAAAAAAATAATTTTATTAAAGTTAGATAGGTTTATAAAGTTTAAATAGGGAGAAAAATAGAATTTAAATACAGAGAGAAAATATTCAAAGTTGTTAGAAAGAAAAATTTTGAAATCTTGGGGTTGATGGTTGGATTTCAACTATTTATATTTGAAAATGAAAAGTCTACAAAAGTCCTAAAATTAAAAAGTCTACAAAAGTTCATAACTTTTTGAATACCACATAACTTTTAAAGACTCTTTAAAAGTCTTAATCGAATACCACACGACTTTTAAAGACTCTTTAAAAATCTTGATTGAATACCACTTGACTTTTAAAGACTTTCTAAAAGTTTGAATTGAATACCTCCAAACTTTTAAAGTTTATAAAAGTCTTTAAAACTCTATGAAAATCATGATTGAACTCATTGTCATCCTAAAACGAGAAGAGAGAAGGTAGCTTAAGCGATTAATTAAGCCATATATATTTATTATGTATGTAATAAGTCAATGGTACAATTATATATGAGGTTTCGCAACACCCCGCCGAGTCGTACCAGGCCACCAATTAACTTACATATGGATGGGCAAGAATTAGTGAGTTAGTAATGATTGTATCTTGTGTCATAAGCACTTGCAAGTAAACTTTTTATAACACATGCTAATTGTAATATAAATACCTAGCCATCATTTATGAAGAAAAGAGGCCGACTTTAACTCTTTAAGATCAATAAAAGAGTGGCTCTTCTTTGTCTAGATATAGAGTGAACGGTGCACCTTTATACATATGTAGTGAGAAGAAAATATATACATTTGAATCCAAACCGATAACATACCCCCTTTTGTCACTTTCTCCTTGCTGATATCTACACCATTCATGGTGAACACGGTTCCAACGGTGTTAGTACACCGTTATTTTTTTTTTTTCTTAATTAATTGCGTGACTTTTCTTCTTTATTTTCACATTTTGCGGTTTCACTTTAATTTGAGGTGAACAAAGATTTCGGACATTCATAAATTATGAATTCATGCATGCACATTCACTTTGGAACCATGCCTACACATTCCCGTCCGAAATCACGGACATTCATAAATTATGAATCCATGTCTGCACATTCACTTTGGAATCATGCCTACACATTCACTTTGGAACCATGAGATTATGAATTTTCTGTTATAAGATTATGAATTTTCTGTTATGAGATTATGAATTTTCAGTTGTGAGATTATGAATTTTCTGTTATGCGATTATGAATTTTCTGTTATGAGATTATGAATTTTCATTACATTCATAATTTCGGACATTCATAAATTATGAATTCATGCCTGCACATTCACTTTGGAACCATGCCTACATATTCCCGTCCGAAATCACGGACATTCATAAATTATGAATCCATGCCTGCACATTCACTTTGGAACCATGCCTACACATTCACTTTGGAACCATGAGATTATGAATTTTCTGTTATGAGATTATGAATTTTCTGTTATAAGATTGTGAATTTTCTGTTATGAGATTATGAATTTTCAGTTGTGAGATTATGAATTTTCTGTTATGCGATTATGAATTTTCTGTTATGAGATTATGAATTTTCATAAAATTCATAATCTCATAACAGAAAATTCATAATTTGATCAAACGCGTGCCGTTAACTCCACATCCGCGAATTTTTTTTTTTTTTTAACCTAAAAACGACGTCGTTTTGCCTTGTGTTCACCATTCTCGGTGAACACGATTCCATGGCATAATTTGCGATTGTGGCATTCAACCTACTTAGATTTATCCCGTCAGTACATTAGATTGACTAAATCTTTCAATATGTATATATATCTAGCTGTTACAGCGCGTTTGGTTGGAGGGGATTACGTGGGAAAGGAATTGCAATTTCATGGGAGATGAATTACTGGGAATAAAGTGAGAATTTAAATTCGAGTGTTTGGTTTACAGGAATAGAATTACTAGGAATTTCAATTCTAATGTTTGGTATACATGGGAATTGAAAGGATTAGTAATATAAAGTCTAAAATGCTCATTATTGTTGTGGTATTAATTTTAGATTAAAAAAATGGAGGGGTAATTTTGTCTCATTAGTAATTTTTTTTCTTCTTAAAATGGAGGAATTGCAATTCCTTCCAACCAAACTAAGTAATTTTATAGCCTTTGGAATTAGGTGGAATTAAGTGGGAAGGGAATTTAAATTCCCTCCAACCAAACGCCGCCCTGTTAGGGTTAATTCCTTGACCTATTAATTAAGGCCTACTATATTATTGCATATTACAAACACTAATTTAATTTATAAGTGGAGTTCGATGTATGATATTGATGATTTTATCGGGAGCGAGTCCACCATAAATCAGGTACATAAATATAAAATAGGAATAGGAAAATAACACTCTTATTATCGGGGCACGAAGCCCAATAAATATACACAAAGACCCCTAGGGACCGACCCAAGAACAGTGGCCCAAAAGAATAAATAACTAAGCAAAATAACTTAAACTAGAAAACCCAAGGACAGCGGCCCAAAAGAATAAATAACTAGCAAAATAACTTAAACTAGAAAATGAATAAACATAGAATAATTAAATTACCCCCGGGATTGAAACCTTGACCAACCAATTCAAGGAGAATGACTCAAACCACCATACCCGCATGGGCAACTCAACTGGTTACACAGGTGAAAGTTTGAAAAAATAACCATGGATTGAGTTTCACCAGCGGTAGTGTGGGAGCAACCTCTTAAAGTGAGGGGGGTTCCTTGTGCGCAGTGAGCCAAGGTCTAACCTCTGTAGTTCATGTTCAGTTGAGGAATGACTCAA